GAAATTATTAAACAACTATACATTCCAACACTATTTGTAAAGTACTATTTATTCAAACAACTAAAAGTATGAAAACAACAATATTGTTTTGCGAAAACAACTATATTACTATACGAAAACAACTATACTGAATCAACTAGAAATTATTAAAATCAACTAAAACAAAAGCAAAAAAAACACACTAGAACTCCAACAAAAACGACTATTATCGATACCAACTACAGCCGTAACGAAAACAACTATATCTTTTTGACTAACATGAACACAGTTTCAACAAAGTAACATACATTCTACAATTAATTGAACGATAATCAGCCTCCCAAACAATACCAAACATAATGGACGAAGCAGATCCGCTTATGTTAACGGCATTCGAGGTTACGGTTGAGCGTCGGCGTTTGCGATTCTCACATGAAAATGCAGCCCAAGTTTTCGTCATCCTCCTCGAGTTCGATCGATTCCATTACAACGGTGGTGGAGTGGTCTTCCGACGAGGATTGCAAGAATGCTTCTAAAAATTGAAGAAAAAAATAAATACTAGATATGTTCATCCCTCGGGAAGGAAAGGAGAGGGACCGAAAAAGGCATCTGACCGGTCCTCGTTTTGGCGGCGGCGCCCTGTCGTTGTCAAGATATGGTGCCGCGTTTGTCCTCTCCTTCGTCCTCGCTTCCGCCGCCATCGGAATCCAATTCGAGAAATAAGAGAAGGGGCCGGGATCTTCCTCGTCGTTGTTGAGATGTGACGCCGCATTCGTCACCTTCACCGCCGTCGCCGATACTACCGATCGATTCCAGAGTAGAAGAGAAAAGATGAGGAGATTAGAGAACGGCGGTTTGTGATGGACGATGTGATTCCAGAAAAGAAGAGAAAATATGAGGGGATTAGAGAACGGCGGTTTGTCGGTTTGTGATGGACGATGTGGCTAGGGTTTGTAAATATAAGATTTGGTAAGTAGGGATAATATAGGTATAATATTTAATAATTGTAATATTTTTAATTTAATTAAATAATTAAGGGGGTTCTCACTAATATTGTAAAAGGGTATAGATCCGCCTTAATATAACCTAATTAGTTGGGGGTTTTCACTAATAATGAAATTTCAGGCTTTGATACAAAGCCCAACTTATTGGGCCTAATATAGCTTTAGAAAGTACAGCCCTGCTAAGCATTAGGCCCATTTATCACACCCAAGTCAATAAATAAAATATTTAAAAATAAAATAAAATAAAAATAAAATAGTGAACCGTCAGTTAAATAGAAAAGATTAAAACAAATAGATTTTGAAAAATGATTTGACATACATAAAAATCTGAACGAAAAGTTGTATTATTGAATAATTACTTACTTTAAGTAGAGATTAGACTGACGGTTTCATGTAATATGGTAAAGAGTCATTAGTTTATATTTAGAAATATATTACTGTGTTTGCAATTTATGAATTATTGCAAGTATATATATCATATGGTTGATATTTGTGATTAAAACATTAAAGCCATCACAAAATGCAACATCATTTTCTTATTTTAGGCATTAAAAATCTTCGCATATTACCATATTTAGTGATTAATTGTCGTTAACTATATATGTAGCACGGACACGGAAACGACGATACAGAAAAACAACATGTCCCGAGAATGGAGATACGGGAACTTGGAGAAAACGTATAAATATTAAAAGTATATGAATAAATTTATAAATATGTTATAAAGTATATATATATATAAGATTTTATTTATATATAAATTCTTTTGTATATATTTCCAAACAAATATATTCAAAGTAATTATTATAAACTATTAATTTCGAATTGGTCAACAAATCATGTAAATAATTAGCAAACCAATAAAAATATTCGAAAATTCGCTATTCAAACTTTTCAAAAATTGTGAAATAACCCATAAGTTGTTCGACAGATGTTCTCGAATATCAGATACAAAACATGTCCGAAACACAAAATTTTGAAGTTTCCGTGCTACATAGGTAGTTAATCGACTAAATTCGAGATAGGAAAAAAACAAAATAAGACATCTATTTCATTGATGTTACGCCTTTGTCAACTTTATTAGGGTGGTCTATATATTTATTTATTTAATTATTAATCTCATAAAAAGACAATTTACCATGACCACTAGCGTTAGTGCACATTTTGTGATATGAAAAAAAAATAAAAAATAAAAAATAAAAATAGAAAAAAAAAAGGGAAAATGATAGGGATATATATTATTGGCAAGCAATTAAATATCTTATCATGTTGTATCACATACATTGCTTATCGCACTTTAATTTGTTTGAATTTTCCAGTGTCACACTAATTGATATTCATTGCATATTTAGTGGTACACCATTTTTTTATGCCATGTGGAATGCAACTTTGTTCAATATTCATTATCATCCACACAACTCTTATATATATCATATATGAATAATGAATTGACATACAAGTCATGTATATATGAATATGGGGGCCAAGACCCCCTAATTCACATTAATGGGCCAAGGGCCCAGTAAATAACAAGGACAATGGCGAGCCAAAAGCTCGTTCAGTAAAGACATAAATCCCAAATAGCGGAAGCATCGTGATACGAGCGTCGCTTCAGCGAGCTAAAAGCTTAGGATTAGGAAGAAGGAGACTCGGTAGGCGGCGAGCTGATCTGAAGACCGTTGGAGCTTAATCCTATAAATAGATAATGTAATTAAAAGATCTCACGCACTAATTATGTGATCAACATCAAATATTGGTCTAATTAAAGGCTTCTAAAAACAGAAAATGTCTATCTAGAAGTTTTCTATATAAACGAATGTAAACGACCCGATTAGGGTTAAGTTTTTTGGACACAATCAATAACAATTAATTGTCTTCCAAATTCTCTCTTTAATTTACATTTCCCGGTCGTTGAGTTCATCTTCTCTGATGATAAGACCAATGTTACATCCGTTTTTTGACGGTTAAAGAAGTAGAGTTTGAAAGGAAGTCTTGAGGTGTTGATCTTGCACCACGAGAAGGAAATGAAATATTTTTTATTATTTTAATTTTATGATATCATAATGTAACATATATATATATATATATATATATATATAATGGAAAGGGGGTTGGGTGGTGGCTCCCTTGTGTATGGGGTCTTGTGGTGGAAAATGGCGTTCCAAAAGAGTCACAAAAAGATAAGAGTCGCCAAAAAGATGAACCAAAACTAAACTTCAATTGGCTACTCCACTTTATTTATTTTATTTATTTTTTTGTTTGAACAAAAAGTACATGATAATATATTAAGATCTTATTTGCTCTTTTAATAAATCATTCATAACATATATAATTAAGTAATTAACTTATAGCTCTGTATTGAAACATCTTTTAATCTTTAAAATAAGATCAAAGACTTTATCAATTTTTAAATATTCAAAGGTTATAGCTTATCAGTTGTTTAAAATAAATTTACTCAAACGGGCCTTCAGTACATAATTACGATGGAGTTCAAACAAGTCAGTTACCCAAAAACTTATCGATAAACCCAAAAATTCTTCTACACTAAGGGATAATGATACGACCTCTTCTTAGTAATATATATTTCGGTGTACAATGAAGAGATGAGATTGCGACAATATATAAATTTTGTTAGACATTAAATTGAAATTTTATTTAATTATAAAACATAATGGTATTAATTAGTCACAGCAAAAAAACGAATTGCATGATGCAATATCCCACTTTAGAATATTATCTCTTTATCATATTGTTGGATAGTGCTATCATATTCAAATGACAATATATATTCTATTATTTCAAAAAAAAAAAAAAGACAATATATATTCTATATATATATATATATATATATATATATATATATATATATATATATATATATTTCCAGGACTATATATATATAATATATTATTTTAAGAGACAAGACGGTTGATATGAAATGGGGTTCAAAGGGATGAATGGTTGACGCCTTGTTTGGAAAAAGATAAAGATTCCATTTTCCACTCTGTAATATATTATACAAAATCTTGAGTACTATTCCAATACACCTTTTTCACTCAACACACACTTAAATAAATAAATAAAAATATCAAAATGAAATTTAATTTGCAAATGTACATAAATTACAATAATATAAGTATATATTTCAAAAATCAATTGAAATATTTAGAACTAAATCGGATCGAAAATCAGAACTTATGGCATTTTATATACAATTCAAGTTACGTTCCAATTTTTTTTTTTTTAAAAATCGGAGATCAGAATTTCAAAAATGAGAATGAAAAATTGATTCCAAATTTGGATTTTTTTTTATTTATCTAAGTTGACGGAACTCAAAAATTTCGTTATAACTGTCACCCCTATAATTGATTTGAGATTTATCCTTTCATCCAAATAATGTAAATTAAAATAATCAACTTCAAATTAAAAATTCCAAATGAGGCAAATTAAAACAATCAATTTCAAACTCTTTAATCCAATCAAGGGTTAATTAAGGAACTATATTGATGGAATTCTCCAACTCTCTTCATGTCACTACAAACCATCACCAACCAAGTTGTCGGTGACTTGTTGGTGCAATTTGCTTCCCATCAAGCTAATTTACTGAAACCCGAAACCGAAATCGAAACCTAATATAACTCAAACCATGATCTTTACTCTAACGTCAGGGCAATGTATCAACTTGACACGGGTTTACTTGTCCTAAAGCAGTAAGAATCTCAAATAAAGCTCGAAGACAACCCATGTTCAATTTTACTTTGCTCACTAACACTTCACAGGGCCGTCACTAGCGCTAAATGGGATATATACATACAGACGGCTGATGTGGTTACATTCGGCCCAATGTCAAAAACAAAGTCGGAAAGTCTGCAACATGACATGGACCATTACACTTGCGGCAAAATCGGGAGCAACCACACCAGCGAGGTCTTTCCATTAGAATTGATCCAGATCTCATGGAGCAAGACATATAGCTCGCCCTCAGCAGACTACCACAATTCGTAGTAGTCACATCACTCCCACGTGTGATCTAACCAAAGACTACTCTCCTGAGTATTTCTAATATATACTCACATTCTTATTATATTTCTCAAAATACACTTATATTGTTTCTCCACGATTCCGACTGATTTGATTGTCCGAATACTAGTAATGCCAGAAAACCCTCACTCGACGTACGCTTCTTTTTACAGGTCTCTCAAAACGCGTGGACTTTGTCTGATCTGGATTCTTCTCACTTCACACCCATCCCACTTCTTCAATTCGTGATTGAGCCGCTTAGGCTTACCGCTTACATCACAATTAAAAGTAATGGTTACAATGAGTTTTTCCCCACCCCTTAATTAAATTAATTTCCTAGATGAAGACACAAGGAAACAAGGTCGACATTGTAGAAACGCTTATTGTTTATGTGTCCCTTTGCACAAGTGAAGAGACAGCCCACACATTTAATAAGAAATAAATATTGTTCGATTAATGATTGGAAAATTGCAAATTCTTCTTCTAATTCTTTTTCCAGCCAAATAATCCAAAAAAAGCCCTTCAAAAAGATCCTTCCTTTTTCATGAACAACAACAAGAGATATATATATATACCTTGCAACTTGCATATAAATAATTTATTTATTTATTAATATTATTTTAATTTTTTCCCACTGTTGGCTAGTAAACTATGGTCTGTATGTCACTTGGTCATAAACGCAGACACACACGCATGCATGCATACACAGAAACAACACATATATATATACAGTGGGATGTAAGAAATTAAAGTGATGAAGAAAATGAAACAGTTTAATAATTAATAATAATAATGAATTAAAATTGTGAAATGGGTGGCCACTTATGAAAGTTACGTCAACATATCAACCACTTATCTCTAAAGCTAAATTCAAAACAATTATATTGAACCCCACCTTTTTACACACACACACACACACATGTGTGTGTGTGTGTGTGTATTGCCTTTGCATCACGCGCAAAACCACGTGTAGGGCAAGGATATATAATCACCACCACTATATATATATCACCACCACACGCTCACATAGTTGCCGTAAGAGATCTAGAGAGAGAGAAAAAAAAATCTAGAGAGAGAAAACAAGAATATAGTAATAATAATAATAATGGAAATGAAGGAACAAATAATAATTCGAAAAGGGCCGTGGACGGAGCAAGAAGACGCGCAGCTCGTATTCTACGTGAACTTGTTCGGCGATCGGAGATGGGATTTCATAGCGAAAGTATCAGGTTTGAAGGTGGCGGGAGAAAGATATATGATAGAGAGGTAGTAGCTAGTAGCTAGGGCTTGTTTGGAGCATATATGGAAAACCAACAAAAAAAAAAAAAAAAAAAAAAAAATGATTGAAATTGCACATATGCCCCCCAAAAAGTTTTAACTGCTGTTTTGTGCCCATGTGTGTGTGGATATGTTTTATGTTGTGGTTGCAGGTTTGAAAAGAACAGGAAAGAGTTGCAGGCTGCGTTGGGTTAATTACTTGCACCCTGGTCTCAAGAGGGGGAAGATGACTACTCATGAAGAAAAACTTGTTCTTGAACTTCACAATAAATGGGGAAACAGGTTTTCTTTTATTTTTTATTTATTTATTTATATTTACAAATTATTAATTTGTTTTTGGTTTATTTTATTCTTCTTTATGTTGTTGTATATCAATTATGGGTTCTTCAATCTTTATATATCTTGTTTGTATTCACACTTGTGATGATGTTTTAGATTCCCCTTTTTTTCTTCATTTTTTTTTGGGCTCAAGTTGGATTAAATTTAATTATATATATATATATATATATATATATATATATATATATATATATATATATATATATATATATATATCAAATTGCAAAAAGACTTCCCATTTCTTAAGTATTAGCAAAAATCCCCTAATGATGCATTTTTTTAGTGCACAGCTCCTAAATGATGTATTTTAAGGGGTTAGTTTGCTAATAAAAATGAATTATGGGTTTTTTTTGATAATATTTCAATACGGTGAGTTTTTTTTTTTAACAATTAGAGTAAACACATGGGTGTTAAATGCAATTGACGCTGTATATATATGAATATGTAATTTTGTTTCTTTTTTTCTCTCTCTCTTTGTAATAATATAATTGTCGTGATAATAAACTTGTAGATGGTCGAGAATTGCTCGGAAAATACCGGGGCGCACGGACAACGAGATCAAGAACTACTGGAGAACACACATGAGGAAGAAGGCTCAAGATCAGAAGAAGACGAAAAGGATGATTTCGCCCTCACTATCATCTTCATCCTCGTCGTCGTTTTCCAACTCCTCCACCTCATCCATCTCCAACAACTCACGCCCTAACGCGGGACCCACCGTCGATTCTTCCTCTCGGGCAAACACGGCAGGCGAAAAGGAAGAAGAAATAAGCACGAAAGTTTACTCGATGGACGAAATATGGAAAGATATCGAGTTGTCGGAAGAAAGTAGTAATTTCAAATGCCAAGAAATGATCTCTCACACATGGGATATGTTGATGCAACCAATTGGTGATGACAATTTCCATTCTCTCCCTTTTTATAATCATATATGATTAAAATTGGCTAATTATTTATTTATATATCAAGAAAATTGCATAAGAATTAAGAAGAAGAATTTGTTTATAGAACTTAGATCTATTTTGTAAGGAATTAGATGGGAAAGTTCACAAGTTTATGTGTATAGGATTTAGGGTTTCAAGTAGTTATGGTAACTAATTTTATTAGTGGGAAGTAGAGTGAGGTTTAAATAATTTAGTCTTTGGGCTAATTAAATTATATTCTACTGTGTAATGTAATAATGTAACATATGTTTTTTTTTTCGTTTAGAAATTAATGTAACATATGTTGGTGTAATGAATAAATTTATAAAATATTTTCTTGTGCAATACATGGTAAATATATATTTATAATTAATGATTTCCAGGTGCAATCTAGCCAGATCACACTACTGTTGGATCTGCTTTGTTCTAATTATAAAATAATTAAAAAAAAAATTAAAAAACTTTTCTTGGTTCTAAAAGTTAAATAATATGAAGAAACAAATCAAGTGAGACTTTGAATTAATAAATATCAAAATTTGGTGGATGCACCACAAACTATTAAAAAAATAATAAATAAATTGTACACTGCATTCTTTTCTATATTGTGATAAGGATGAGTTGATGGCCTTTGACAAGGATATTCCGGGTTTATGTAAAAGTTATTTTTGATTATTCGAGCAGAATTATATGATTTTTTGTTAAAATTTGTAATTTTTAATGTAAATAAATGGAAATTCATTATACTGATCGAACGCCATATCAAAATAGCAGAAGAAAAATTAGAAACGACGAGCAGTTCGACTAGAAAGATTCGAGCTTTAAATAATAACCCATAAAATTGAGAGCAATTTTGTTTTGACAAAAAGAATTGACGCGTCAATTCGTTTTAAAAGCATCTGAAAACCAACCGTGAGCTAAAATAAATCCAGAACAAATCAAATAAACACAAAACGAAATAATTCAAATCGCAAAACTGGGTTATTGTCACAATAGCAAAAGAACATTCAACATAAAATTAGATCCAGCAGGGGAAAAAGAAAAAAAGGGTACTCATCTCCAAATGAAAAGTCAACAATTATATTAGCCACCTAGAGAGAGAGAGAGATAGAGAGAGAGAGAGAAGGCTCATGCTTAGTAGAAGAAGCCGAGTACTTTACCTCCGACACTCTTCCTACGAGCTTCTTCGTGATCCATGATTCCAGCAGATGTAGTCAACACAATGTAACCAAACTGCAATCGTAAAGAAGAAAGTTCATTACGAATAGAAACTAAGGTCAAAAGAAACAGAAACTTTTATAGCCCCGATGAAAATGTAAAAATTATTTCTTGTAATAAACATTTTGGTCCAAGATTCAAACGAACCTTGACTAAGACCAATTTTTACAATAGAAAAGGAGTTTGATTTAACATTGCTTGAAACGAATTGTTTGGATGATATAACTTCTCTTACTTGTAAATTAAGTCCAGAAGGAAAAAATAAAATAAAAAAAGAAATTGATAAATGATATAACTTCTCTACCTGTCTGGATGGGAGCAGCCTTGCAGTCCAAGGCTCGATATCCTTGACACCAACATCGAAACGAGGGCTGATAACACCACATTTGTTTAATCGTCCGTTCAATTCAACCACGATTTTTCCAGATCTGTGGTCGTCAACATACTCAAACTCTCCGATGTATCCTTTAAAGCCCATTCATAAATAAATTAATGTTTCGTTAAATAAAAAATAAAAAACAAATAAATAAATATATGGTTTTGAGTATAAGTAGGGGCTGTACCATGCTTCTGCATGACCATAAGAAACTTGATAATAACTTTTGACGAAGGCCTAATCATGACCTGGCGTTTCCCGATTTTTTCAGCATTGTACATACTCTTCAGAGCATCATTCAGAACACTTACTCTCACCATCTTCAAAGGAAATCTGACTGGTCTGCATACAAATAATTATTTTGTTAAATTAATAGGCAGAAAGGCAACCAATTATACGGTGCAACCGATAATATTTGATTAAAGAGAGTATTCATAATGCCGTTAAAAATTGTATCCAACAGGTCATAAGTAATACAACTGTGAATATTCACATCCATGGTGTCATTCATTACAAGAACATGATAATTACATACTTACAAACAACTAAACCAGAATTTTTTAATTTTTTTTTTAAGATAAAAAAAGTTGACAATTTTTCATTGTAGCACGAAGTACAATAGGAGGGGTGGTAGGAATGTAGAATAAATACATTATTAATTATAAAAATAGAAACATAAAACTTACAACACTTGCTTAGTAAGAAGATATTTGAACAAATAAACTACTTGACAAAGTTCACCATTGCATATCCAAAAGTATACAATCAAGAAAAAAATGTTGATCACTTCTCACAACTCCCAATCATACATTTAAGCCACGTTTGGCTCCCAAGATATCCCAAAATTGCGTATAAACCGAAAAAAGTTGTTGTACAAACCAAACATCAAATAAGACCGATTTAATCAATCAAGGCCTAATTTATCAGCCAAACGAGACCTTACTGAATTTAAGAAGTACAAAAGCATGAATCATCTACTTTTTTTTTTCATTTACCAAATTCCAGAAATTCAAAATCATTCCGAAACTAAGATAACAGATCTATTTCAAACCTCAAATCAATTAAAATATCACAGAAAATGAAGAGCAAATTAATCGAAGCTAAATCTGCTATTTTTTCACACATAACTATTGCTGATGGCAAAATGAAACAAAAATGCAACAACAAGATCCGATAACTGAGTTTATACACACTTCATTCAAAATAATTTTATCAATGAACCCTAATTTCAAACGTGGTTGAATAAGATCATTCCAATTACAAGCAGCACGATCCATTTAGAAAACAAATATATGATGAACGAATGAAAAGGAAAATCAAACATGTGAAAATTTGCAGAGAAGTATGTAAAAAATTAAGAGCGACTAAGAAATAGATTAAGATAGTTAGATCGAGAAGTGAACCTCGGAAATAGGACGCCGCCTCCGCCTCCGCCGCCGCGCTCTGATCAGATTTCTCTTCTGCTAACCGGGGAGAGAGCTTTAAATGTTAGGGTTTGGGCTAATAAAAAAAAGGGTTTCCTTGTGATTTTCTATTTTTTTAATTTTTTTAATTACCCTTTGTAATTAGACAAATATACCCTTTAGAATATTTTATTTAACAAAGTCTAGCCTATGGCTAAGCATTACGGCCCATAGTGGAAAGAAATAGGATATTTTTTCTTTAACATTTTGGAAGTGAAAATATATTCGTTTAGAAAATAAAATAGAATTCTAAGAATTATTATCGAATTAAATATATATTTAAAATCTCGTAAAGGGTTACATATAATTTTTTCGATTAAATTTCAAAAAACTAAAACAAAATATTCCAAATTTATATTTTCTTTTTTGATTGACAAACTTATAAATTTTCATGCTATGACTTTGCATAATTTTAATAAGATTGAATAATAGGTAAATATTATTTAAACGAGATTATTAATTTATCGAGGTTGTACTGTTTTTTTTTCCTAAAAATAAAAATAAAAATAATCCATGGATTGAGGAGATACTGTTTCAAATTCGGCCAGCAGCTTCAGTTCACATAAATAAACACCACCAAGTTTTCAATAATGTCCATTTATTCCGACCACCAAAACTCGGCGAATGAGTCAACTCAGGGGTTCAATTTATGCATTCACACATATATACACGTGTGTAAAGTGTAGATGTATAATTATTTTCTATCTGGTGTGTATTTCACACGGTGTAGCATCTACAATACTAACTCGTAAGGCACCAATAAAGCTTGCAGTATATTCAAACATCCAAGAGCAATCTACGAGGATCTTCGACCACGTCTTTGATTCGTCTCAGAAAGAAAACCGCCTCTCTCCCGTCAATCAGCCTATGGTCATACGTCAGTGCAATATACATCATTGGCCTAGCAACTACATTACCTCCAACCACCATAGGCCGGCTCACTATCGAGTGCATCCCCAAAATAGCAGACTACAAAAAAAAAATTTAACCGATTAATAATCGAACACATGAAAATAATATTTAAATAAAATAAAATTTCATCGGAAGTTTAAAAAAAAGGAACCTGAGGAGGGTTGATAATGGGGGTGCTCAGAAGACTTCCATATACACCACCGTTGGATATTGTAAAAGTTCCGCCAGCCATTTCATCGATTGAGATAGTGCCGTCACTGGCTTTCTTAGCAAGAGAGTTGATTTCCTTTTCGACTTCGGCGAAATTCAAATTTTCGGCATGGCGTAGAACTGGTACGACGAGGCCCTGATCGGAATATTAAAGGACATTTTGGAATTAGAGACTTGTAAACAATTTTATTGGAATATTGAATAAATGAATTGGGTATGTATATCTTGCCTTGGGGGTGCCGACAGCTATGCTGATGTCTATGTAGTCTCGGTAGATGATGTCATCTCCGTCGATGACGGCGTTCACTATTGGCTGCTTCTGTAAAGCACTGACAGCCGCCTGAAAACAGGAGAACATGTTCGATTTCCATGAGGCGTGCATAAAAAAAATAAAAAAATGTATATTTTTATATCAGCATACTTTTACAAATCCCGACATTAATCCCAGCTTCACTCCATGTTTTTTAACAAATGCATCCTTGTAATCAGAACGGAGTTTCATCAAATTAGTCCTGTTAATGTGCAGCTATCAGCACATTATTAAAGAAAAACAGTCGGATGGTACACGTATAAAAACTCTATAATACTTTTTAATATATCAAATCAAGTCTTGGGTGAATTAAAGATTGTGCAAGATATTTCTTTTGTATGTTTAACGTTTAAGTTGATCAACGAGCTTACATATCAACTTCATTAAATGTTGTCAGCAATGCAAATGTGTTCTGAGAATCCTTCAATCGTGTGGCAACTCGTTTTCTGAGCCTCGTCATAGGCACCTGTCACACACGGTAAATTCTCTTGTTACACATCACAGAATTGCTTACGGACGGTTACTGCATTATGTTAAAATTTAAAACTTACACGTCTTTCCCTTTCTTTAGGGGGAAGATGCAGCTCTGTATCTGAGGTTTTGGGAGGAGGGAAATGACTTCCTTTAGGTCTTTCTGTAACAGGGGTGGTTTCGACTTTAGGACTTGGCTCCTCCTTTTTCTCTTCAGCAGGAGGTGGTGGTGGGGCAGTTTTTCGAGGTGGTTTCTCATCAGATGGTGCAACATGAGTAACACCTTCCCCGGATTTTGATATGATAGCAACCTTGGTGCCAGGTTCCACAGTGTCCCCTTCCTTAGCAATAAACTATGAATTGTGTTGATAAAAAACCAAACATAGTCAACTAAAAGTAACTGAGAAATAACGTAACACGGTAAAAGAAAGTATCGGTCAATATATGATAGTGATACTAACCTCCTGAATTACACCTGCTTCAGGACTATTGACATCAATGGTGACCTGGTACCACGGAAACCCCAAAGAGACAACTATTAAAAGTTACTCCTTATAACTGTCTGTGTACAAATAGGGTTTGAAAAGTGAGTACCTTGTCAGTTTCAATCTGAGCGATTGGCTCGTCAATTTCGACTCTATCTCCAGGTTCTGGTCACACCAAGAAGTAATAATAATAAAATCAAGGGATAAGACTTTTGAGCATTAATACTTGATTGAATAATGGACTAGGTCGTAATATAGACGAACGTACTTTTCAAGAAGGCTGCTAATGTGCCATCACTTATCGATTCACCCATATAAGGAACAACAGCTTCAACAAGATCACCTTCTGCTCGAAATGATAGGACGGAACAAGTTACAAGTAAGACCCACAAAAAAAAAACAGAAAAAGACGATTATATGCACATAAAATTTTGCTAGTATTTCATTTTCTTCATAATTCATATTGTTAATTTGGGATAACTCATCCGAATTGTCGCAGTTCAATAAAAGACAATAGCTGCATCTGCCTACTGGTATCTCACATGGCTCAAGCTTGTTGATAACATGATATGCATTCTACACAAGATGCAGAAAAATTGAACGATGAAAACCGGTATCGAAGTGAATGTTATACCACCACTGGAAGAGAATGACCTGCTCCACATCTGCATGCAGACATTTTGCTGAAGACTGGCTAAAACTTCTCTGCAAACAGTACAAAGAGATAGATTCAACTGTTGTAACATTCTTTTAAATACCTACTTGTGAACTAAGCTGAAATATCTCACAAATCTAGCTGCCTTGACTTTCTAATTTTAAAAACCCATTTGAGGTTGATATATTTATCACCAAACTATTTTGGCATCGAAAGAATAAAAATAAATACATCAATATTGGATCACTAACCTTTTTGGGATCAAAGTTGCCATGCTTCCTGTAACAAAGTAATAGACAACATTAAATATGATCCAAACCCATGGAAAAACTAAAGAGTAGTTTGGTCTTATATAAGTACGAAACAAGACAGCCATACCAGCCCGAGGACTATGAGAGAAAGTTCTGACGTTGGCAAATACCCTGGTGTAGTGCATGATCTGTCCAAAACCTCAAACATAAGTAAAAACGATCAAAGACATTTAGATCACTTCATCAGCGATTCTTGATCGGACACATACAAGTAAAATGACCGTGTCATATAACAGCTACAAAAGCAAGGAATGTAGTGAATAAATAAATACGCGTTGAGAGCATTGCTTATCCATAACTGGCACATGCTGCTACACCTACTTATTTCTATATGTTCTGAGGTTTATGTTAGGGCGTCTTTTAAGGCTAATCCCACTGACATGTATAAACGAACCTCAGAAACACAATTTAAACAGAAAAACCACATGTAAATTGGATAGGCTACCTAAAATGGTTTATGAATGCAGGCAAAAAAATTACTGATGCAGGTAATTTTGGAAACATAAATAACAAGTTCTTACACTTAAATATAGTTCTCTCAACAGTTATAACTTATATATTCAACAATATTTAATTGTAAAAAAATACTTAAGTGTAACATAATAAATAAAAATTACGAAAAACAAGGCGGCAAAAAATAGCTTCTAGATTATGAAACACGGACGTAAACATAGAATCTAGGTTTCGAAACCCGAATTATTTAAAAAAAAAAAAAAGCAAATATTGAAGATCAAAGTGAAAGTATCCACATTACCTCCTCTTCCGAAGCAGAGAAAGTTGATTGTGCACATACTGCAGGCCTGAGATTATACAATGATTTCCCATACACCTAATTCCAAAAACGCATAACTGAATTTCCACGCAAATTCCATATATGATCGTTCATGTGAGAATGCAAAACTATATCAACGTATAAACTTTAACTACAATTTAAATAAATAAATAAAATGAGAAAAATACCGAAGCAGATGATGCAGCTTTCCGCCTTAAAACACCCAGCATCACGCTTTCGATCTCCTACCACTGCAAATCAAACAGGTAATCCATCACCAAAATTAATATTTAAAAAAATAAAAAACAGGTAAAAAGAAATTGACGCGCCAATTTGGAAAGATCTCGAAGAAAATCATTTCGGATTACAGAAATTAAAAACGAAGGCGGAATCAGAAAACGGAAGAGCAGCAATTCTGACCTAGGGTTTGAGAATGTGATGCTTGAAGGGGAAGGGAAGTGTGAAGGTGGAAATAGTGAAGCACAATTCGGAGCTGGTTGTAAGATGCTTGCGAATCTTTCCAAAATTGAATTTGAAGGAATGAAGAATGAAACCACGTACGGGCAAAAAGAAAATTACAGAAATTATTTATTTATTTATTTACTTATTTATTTATTTATTAAATAAATTGTTGGGCTTGGGCTTTAGTAGAAGAGGCTGAAAGCTTTTGTTTAGGGCTTTGGTTAATTCTATAGGCCTTGTCTGATAAAATGGCCAATTTATCTCAAAATAGATGCATTTATTCATTACATAATAAAAATATAGTGTAAACCCATGTTACCAGTACAGTAGAGATGAATACAATATATACCCATGCAACTTCATCACACAATAAATGCCCATGCAACTTCATCACACAATTCATAATGCATAAGTAATCAATACAGTAGAGATGAATATAATAATACCCATACGAAAACTGACAAAATATTGTTTGACAGATACAAATTAAAAGGAATGTTTGAACAAAAGGAATACGAAAAGTATATTGCAAATCACACATACAAAATTCAAATAAATAAACATCAAGCTTGACCCCTACTCAACCACGCATTATACATACTAATTGCTAGGCTATCTCTCCAAGAGGACCATTCTGTTGATGTCTCAACCGTTTCAATGAAACCGTAATGCTTGCGATCGACCGGCGTAATTACTTCTTTGGGAACTTTGTCTTCTTCGGGGTCATGATCGTTCGTCGTACGAATGAAGTTATGTAAAAGACAACAAGCCATTATTATACGACTTTGAATTTTAATTGGATAGTACGACGGGCTTCTTAGTATTCCCCATCTAGATTTTAATATGCCAAATGCTCGTTCGATCGCATTACGAGCTTTAGCATGTTTCATATTAAAGTACTCTTCGTGGTTTTGCACCACATTTCTACCTACTCCAAAATCTTGGAGATGATATCTAGTATTCCTATAGGGTGCTAGAAAGCCAGGCCCGTTTGTGTATCCATTATCAACCAAATAATAGTGCCCTGGAAAAGGTAAAATATTAATTGCATTAAAGTAGTGGCAATTCTTTTCGGTATGAATTAACGTATTAAGTTATGAAATGCTATTCGTACCGTTTGGAACACGAAGACCGTCGGGTCTAGTGACTGCGTCCCGTAAGATCCTACTATCGGCGGCGGATCCCTCCCAACCACTCAACAAGTAAACGAAATTCAAGTTCACATCACACACCGCCAAAACGTTAATCGAAACCGTACCCTTTCGATTCCTATACCGTGGCTTGTCGACTAGTGCTACACGTGCAGGAACATATGACCCATCTAATGCACCTAGACAACCCTATGACATTGTCAAATAAAATAAAGTAAGACACTGGTAATATAATTTATTAATGATTGGTTAAACACTTATTTATGACGTTCTCATTTTTTACCTCAAAATATTTCCAACGCGCGTGATCGCAATTGGAGTCGACGGGTTCAGGTGTGACAAGCATAACGTTGTGCAATTTTAATAGAGCGTGCAAAACCCGAGAGAAATGAATACTAATTGTGTAACCGGACCTCCTATAATTTGTTTGAATTATGACATTTTTTTCGTGGTGTGATAGAACATGTAAGAACAAAGCAACTTGCTCAACCACGGAGACATTCCTAGTCGCAACTAGACCACCAACATTCTCAAGAAGAAAACACAACCGAGAAAATGTGTCGGTATTCATCCGTAGATTTTGACGGCAAACAATATCACTCCAACCAACAAGGTAAGATAAATGTTGTATTTGAATTGGTATCTTACTTTTCAAACTATAGCAACGACCACTAACATTACCATTCCTAAGTTGCCGACGTCTAATTAGTCGCACAAGTTGTGTAAACATAACCATAAGCATTCTAATTTGCTCAACTATTTGAAAAGCCATGACTACGACAACCTCTTCTTCCGTATTGGCATCCATGTATCAAACTGGGCTGTTGACAAACCATTAAATTGTAATGAACTACAAAATTTGAAATAAAAAAAATCAAACATCACGAGAAGCAGCAACTGGAACTACTCATTTATGTTTTGAAAATCATTGTTTATTCTCAAAAAATCTATATGACCATTTATGTATTTTTTTTACATTTTTTGCATAGTTCCACAACTAACTCAACTAATAATATCATTGGGTTCACATAAACAAACACCATATAGAGTAGGAAACATTTAAAAACACACACACACACACACACACAAATAACAAGGCAGAAAAACACTAACCTTGAAAGAGTAGAGACCAAAACCAAATAAGGATACTGAAAATTCGGGACCCTTGTCTGACAAATCGGAACAGCACCCTAAAGAACCAAAACAAAGAAAAATATATTAGTGAAGAGAAAAAAATGATTACAAAATCTGGAAAAATAGCAAAAACTTGAAGTGTTTGTAACTGAGTTTCTTCTACCATATGAGTTTTAAAAAAAAAATTGCAAGTACCCAGCAAAAGAAGCAAGCTGAATTTGAAGAAATAATTGATTGACGACGATCTACACAAACCTTCAAAATCTAGCCTTCGAGATGTATGCCGACGAATGCAATGCTCCTGAGCTACCACTAGAATCTTCAACGATATACAAACACCAAATTTTGAAGTTGCTAGTTTCCAAATCGAAGAAAACAAAATAGAAGAATAAAAACGCAGAAGAAAATATTTGTATACATACCTGTATTCAGGAAATTTAGGGCACAGAGAAGAAAATGGGGGAGTGAGTTAGATATTTATACCAGGTTTATGTGTAGTTGTTTGAAATTATAGAGGGTATTGTTGTCAATTCACATGGAAATTGAATCCCAAAAAAAACCGGATTATGTAATCGGATCTCATTTGGGCGGATGGAATATCATTCGTTTCAAGGATAGTAGACCGGGCCGGGGATCAATCTGGGATTTCGGTCCAATAATCCTAAGATGAGATCCAGTCAAATAAATTCATCAATCCAATGGGTTCCAAGAAACCAAAGATGCCCTTATGGGATTGATTAGATTGGATAAAATATATGATAATAAAATGAGTTTATTGCAATTTATGATAATATAATGGTGTTTGAAAAAGTTCATTTTAAAATAAAAGTTAGTGATTGTGAGTTAAGTCGGTTTGTAAATACGCTAGAAAATCAACTTAAGTGGTGTTTGCAAAAGCTTTTAGAAATAGATTATGAGTTTTTTTCTGCACATAATATGTTTTTAGATGCTTGCAAAACAAGCTTTTGTTTTTGCGTCTCTTAAAATAAACTGCTTCAAACTATAGAAATAAGCACTTAATTCAAACTAAACTCACAATTATTAACTTCTACTTTTAAATAAGCACTTGCGAACATGACTTTAAATTGAAGCAACTTATTTTAAGAAAAGGCAACTCAAAATTGCCAGAAGAGACTTAAAACTGCTTTTGTACAGCTTACAACAGCTTATTTTAAGAGACACAAAAACAAATGTTGATTCTGCAAACATCAAGAATCAAATGAAGAACAAAAAAGAAAAAAAAAAAGACATGTAACTAAAATCGAAACCAAAACCCGTAAGACAAAAAAATCTATTACTATTGAACTTTTGCAAACACCATCTAAGAAATATAGAAAAATAAATAGTACAATATTTGAAAATTCATATAACAAATGAACCCTAAGGCCTAAACCAAACTATGCAATTCAGAAATTAAATGTAATTGTGTCCTAATTTGTTATCAAATTATTCGGATGTACTAATATTCAACCTAATTTAGCAATTTAAGTAAATATCATTATTTATTTGCCCTATTCAACCATTTATTTGTGCCACATCTCAAAAGTAAACAACCTCATTAATTGGTCCCAATTATGGCAGTTCATCCATAATGAAAACGAGCCAAACCAAAACGACACCGTCCACACAATCGAAAATGTCCCAGCTGCGGAACCTGTATCTCTTCTCCTACAATCTCTTTCAGTGCTTCGGATGGTAAACACTTTCTCTCTCTACTCTTTCTCTCTCACCACCCACACACACACACACATTCACCATTCTTTCTGTAATTTTTGCAGGGCTCTATCACTCTTCAGAATTCTGAGTAATTTTTTGTCCACCAAATCAGTTAATGGCGCCTTTTCTGCTGTCGGTGATTTAATTTGTGAGTTACCCAGTAATTATGTTAAAATGGATGTCAATTTTATTATAATTTTTTTATTTTATTTTATTTATTTTTTATTTTATGTGTTAAGGTCTATTGCAATGTATTGCATTCTTGGAAGTTATTCATGGGGCTATAGGTAAAATTTCAGATTCATGGTTTGTATTGATATATATATATATATATATATATATATGGGACAAATTACGGACACCCCCCATGGTATGACCAAATTACGAAAAAACAATTCTTGTTTGGGTAATTACAGCCACCCCTCCTTTTAAATATTTTTACATAAAATTTATGTAATTCGGTTATTTACCGAACCAAATCGTATATTCAGTTCGGTAAACGGTATGAAATGTTTACGTACCGAAATTTCGGTTCGGTTTTACCGATCTAACATCCCTAGATTTACCTCTGGAGGGGTATTTTCGTAAGATAATACATAGCTGAGCAGTGGCTGTAATTACCCAAACAGGAGGGGTTTTTTCGTAATTTGACCATAACTCAGGGGTGGCCGTAATTTGCCATATATATATATATATATATATATATATATATATATATATATATATATATATATATATATATATATATATATATATGTATATTGATTTAAATATTTGTTTCCAACTGAATTTGAAGGAATTGTTCCAAGTGGTGTTGTGCTTCCTCTGATGCAATGGGGCGGAAGGACTCATTTTTTGCTCGCTGTTGTTCGTAAAATACCCGAGGTTTGTTACGCTTTGGTGCAAAATTATGAAATAATGTAGGCATATAAACGACGAAAAAAAATAATAATTTCAAACCGTATTTTCTTGATGTAGGTCCAAGAATTACCATCGGTCTTCATAACGTTTGTTGCTTGGAGCTTCTCCGAGGTGATTAGATATTCGCATTACGCGCTAAATTGCATCGGCACTCCTCCCAATTGGATCACTTTTATCAGGTATTATATCTATCGATCACAACTCACAACGTAGTCTTCAGATAAGTTATCTAATTACCGTTCTTACGACTATATTATCGTTTGGTTTCCGTTAGGTACAATGCGTTCATTGTCTTGTACCCTGTCGGAGTTTTTCCCGGTGAAAGTAAGCCTTCTTTGACAACTCATGACTCGTATCTATACGTGTTCCTTTTTTTTCGTTTTTTTTGTATTAATTCTTTTTTTCATATTGGTTCGTGTAGTGTGGCTAATGTACCAAGCACTTCCGTATATAAAGAAGCAAAATCTCTACGCAGATAGCCTCCCGTTCAGCTATTACACCTTTGTCACGGTACGTGTCACATTCTTGAAAAATAATTTTTTATAACTTACTCGATTTTGTGAATGCATATGCAATGAAATTTAGTTACACTTCCACCGTTGTGCTTCGCTCTATTGAAATCCGAGACCCAAATACAGTTAAACCTCTATAAATTACTGCGGTTGAGACTGGCAAAGTTCTATTAATTTAACGAAGTGTTAAATTATCGAGTTAATAATTTTAGTACGTTTTTACCGAGTCGGGACCGTGATAAATTATTTTTTAAACGAGGTTATTATTTTATCGAGGTTCTACTGTAGTTAACAATGAGAAAAGAGTTGACTTTTTTTTTACATATATATACTCGACGAGTTCGTTTCATTTGTAACATATTTCTTTCGTTTAAATGGTTTAAAATTGACTGTTTCAACTATCTATATGCAGGGTTTGCTCTTCTGCTATCCATTCTTGTGGATGAAACTTTACCTTCATTTATTCAAGCAACGACGCTCGAAACTCGGTAAACAACAAAAGAAAAAGTCCAACTGAAAATTGGAGTTCATTCTCCCGTTAGTATATGTATGGTAAGCCCGAATCGAACTAAAAAAAATATGAATAACATGTGTGTTTTTTTCTTCGGCAAATGTGTGTACATTCGAGACAATATGCGGAATTTGCAATTGTCTATGAATCTGTTCGTTTATTTTTTCATGCAAACATAAAGAAGTCCGACATTCAAGAAAGATGATTTTACAGAATCAAGACAATCGATAGCGTAGATCACAACACAGCTTCACAGAATGGAAAAACAGACACTTGCACACAATCCCTTGCATAAAAAATGAAATACGAAAAACGAAAAAAAAAAAAAAAAAAGACATCAATAATCGGTAGTGGGGAGTTGTTCATGGCCGGTTTGGTTGATGAAGAGGATTTCATAGATAAGGGCAGCGATGCCCGCGCCTACAAACGGGCCGACCCAGTAGACCCAGTGGCTGGCCCACGTCCAGCTCACCACTGCGGGCCCGAAAGAGACGGCCGGGTTCATGGATGCTCCAGTGAAGGCTCCACCGGCCAAAATATTGGCCCCCACTATGAAACCGATGGCAATGGGGGCGATGACCCCTATGTCGCCTTTCTTGGGATCCACTGCGGTGGCGTACACCGTGTAGACTAGGCCGAATGTCATCACTATTTCGAATACGAGTGCGTTCCATACCGTAACTCCCGATGAAAGCGCGAAAGCCGATGTTTCCTGCATGTTTATAAGTTTAAGTTTTACTAATTTTGGACGAAAAGTGAAATAATTAGTTTTGCATTTCCGAACAAAAAAATCAGAATATTTTTCGAAAGTGCCGATTTCGAGTCCTAACCGGGATGAATATACTTACCAATCCACCGGTGGCAAAGTTGAGTAGCAAGCAAGCGACAACGGAACCAAGCAATTGAGCAATCCAATATAGGATGCTTCTAAACAACGATATGTGGCCGCCTACGAAGGCACCAAAAGTAACTGCCGGGTTTACGTGGCCACCGGAGATGTTGGCTCCGACCGAAACCGCCACAAATAGGGCGAAAGCGTGCGCTAACGCCGCCGCAGTCATGCCAGCTGGCGTGCTAGCCCCACCCCCGGTAAGCTTAGCTATAATATATCGAAAACAATAAGTAGATAAACAATCGAAATTAAATCATATTTATAGAGTGATTTTAACTTACCAAAGGCCATGCCGGAGCCTTCGCCGGCGAAAACGAAGATGAGCATCGAAATGAACTCGGCTACCGCTGCCTTGATGGCTTCCGGCTGCCGGACTTCGGCAGGAGTTCCGACGGCTACTCTCGAAATCGGCATTTTGTTTAATTGTGTGTGTGTGTGTGTGTGTGTGTTTGAAGGTTCTTGAAATTCTTGTTTCTACTCTTCTTGTGGTTCTTAACATTCAATGGAAGCTTTACTTATATAGGCCTTAGTTTGAGAGCCAATTTTGAATTTTTCATTGTCCTAAGAACTTCTTACTATTGGTGACACGTGGCACTATTATTGTAGGAATTAATAATAACCGACCATGAACTTGGAAAGGGGCCCACAAATGATTTTTCATGAAAGGGGATTTGTTATTCAAACCGACCAATGAGGGTAGGGAATAGGATATTGAAAGGGATTAGTTGTAACAATGCTCTAATCATCCCATCATTAATTAATTAATTAATTAATAATTATCACCTTAATAATAAGCTTGTGATGATTAAGTATCAAGAGTCATGGGCAGGCTTTTTTTCTTTTTTTTAGTTAGAATCCATTTATAGTTAATTACTTATACAGTTTACTTAATCCTCGCCTGGTTGGGAGGTTAATTATGAATAACTAAAATAATAGGAGGTTGTTTGATGTTTGACATCCCCAATAACTTGTCAGATCGACCCGCAAATATTATGCTATCGTGACTTATTTTGGCTTCTAATTTTGTTTTTTATTGAATCATCGAAAGTCCAGTAATATAATTAAGTTTCATCAAATTATTTAGTTTTATCTTAACTAATTTTATATTGACAATCAAACGATACCTTAATTACTTATCTCACTTGATGTAATTAATACTAAGAAAAAAGAAAATAAATCATCCTCAGTGCACCGCCCCATACATAAGCAGACGGTGACACCAAATTTAGGGTCGGTTTTAAAAAAATTATAATCATTATGTCTTAAATCATTGTTTCTTTTGTTGATTAGTACAATGTGATTCTTTTATATATGTGTATATATATTCTATTTATTAATTGCTAATGCAATAAAAATTTAAAACGAGCCTCTTAATTAATGAGTTGTTTGCATGTAAGATTATACTAATATTAATAAGTGGATAGTTTACTTTATTATTTATTTTCTAGCTAATTCCCAATCTTATCTCTTAATTATTTAGTGTGGCCGGCTAAAAGAATATCATGGGCAATAAATATTTTTTTTATTTTGGATAATGAAGGAACAATACGAGAGATGTAACCAAATTAGGCTAACGATGTGTGACAAGTTCGACCTAACGACTGTTGACAAGATGATTCGGACCTGAATAAGAGTATAATTGACTTTCACGAATTTAAAATTTATAAAAACTACAAGGGTACAAAAGACATTTCGCCTAAGATTTTAGCATTTTTGTTAGGACCTTGAACAAGACATGTTCTAGGCTCGTAACTCTGTGTCCTTTTGTTTTAAGAAGACGGGAAAATCAAGTATGATGGATGAGCCGACTCTGCTCAACCGGAGCGTGATTAACGGACTCAGTGGCTCATGCCATTTGACTCAGTCGGGGTTCATTAGATATATTAATATTATTATTATTAGTTAAAATTCACCTTTTTTTTAAATCTCTTGCTAGCCTTTAATTTTTTGATTAATCTTTTTAGTGTGACTATTTTAACCTTGAATTTTCCAAACATTCGAACCATTAACCCAAAAATCTTAAAAAAAAATAAAAAATAAAAAAATCATACTTTTTGTAAATGCATTGAATATGCATCAAGTGGATGTCAAATTAATGAAGAGTTACCAACCATTAATGGTTCTTAATTGAAGTACACTCTTGTAACTCTTAGGACATTAATCTTCCTAGTAGTATAAATAGCTTGCTTTGTAATAGGCAAATATACACTTGACACACTTGAATATACAAGAAAGAAAAAGAAGAAAAGGTTCTACTATCCTTACATTTGATCTCCCAATTCTTGTTTTACTTGATTTTCTTTAATATATTTATAACACGTTATCAGCACGAGCTTGCTCCCGTTTTTCATTGAAGTTGGTAAGGATTTTGTGATTCTTTTAATATCTTGAAAAGAAAAAATTATTCATGTTTTCGATAAGTGGCTTGTAAAACATGTTTTCAATATTTTGATATACATATATGATTAAGAATTAGATTAAGATTATAGATAAAAACCATTAGTACAAATCAAATTCCAGAATTTTATTAACTATGTGATACTTTAATTTCTATTAGTTTATGTATTATATTTGTTTAGTTAACAGCATATACAATTATTATTTCTTTTATGCATTAACAATGATATCAAATGGTTTGCTGTATATAAGAGATATTAATTTAATTACTTTATAATCGGTCAATTAAAACGCTATATTTTAAATTATTATTTATTTGCTTTATTGTTATGCAAATTATCATAAGAACCTGAAGTTCTTTAAAGGAAATATAGGCTCGAAGTCCATATCGAATATCAAAGCCTGAAGCTTGGATATATTGAATAAATTAGCCTCAAACCTGAAGTTTTGAGTATACATATATTCTAAAGCACTATTAATTTTATGACACAGTGCTATGGCAAACATCACCAAGCTTGAGTTCGCTGCTCTAGATATTTCCGGAAGAAATTATCTAACTTGGATCCTTGATGCTGAGATCCATTTGAATGCCATGAACCTCGGAAATACCATTAAGGATGGTAATGAGGAAAGTGAACAAGATAAGGCGAAATCAATGATTTTTATTCGCCATCATCTCCATGAGGGCTTAAAATCCGAGTATCTTGGGGTAAAGGACCCTGCTACTCTATGGAATAATTTAAGTAAAAGATATGATCACCAGAAGAGTGTGATACTTCCTAAAGCTCGATATGAATGGATGCACTTGCGTTTGCAAGATTTTAAATCGGTAAATGAGTATAATTCCGCCATGTTTAAAATTGTTTCTCGATTGAGATTATGCGGAGACGATGTTACAGAACAGGACATGTTAGAAAAGACATTTACCACTTTTCATGCCTCTAATATGCTCCTGCAGCAGCAATATCGTGAAAGGGGTTTTACAAAATACTCTCAATTGATTTCTTGCCTCCTCGTTGCTGAACAGAGCAACGAGCTCTTGATGAAAAATCATAACTCCCACCCAACAGGATCACAAGCATTTCCAGAAGTAAATGCAAATGTTTCATTCCCTGAAGTGAATGCAAACAACTATAATCGTGGTCGGGGTCGTGGCCGCGTGCGTGGGTATCGCCGTGGTCATGGTCGACATCAAGATGGTCCTAGAGTTGCACCATACCACCCGAAGTGGAATAAAAATGGTGAAAAACAAGACAAGGGCAATGCTGTAAAATTTGGCCATCATAATAATCAAAATGAGAGTTGCCATAGGTGTGGAGTGAAAGGACCCTAGTCACGTGCCTGTCGTACTCCAAGGCACCTTGTTGATTTATATCAAGCATCCATCAAGGGAAAAGGAAAAGGAAAAGAAATCAATTTTACTGATTTTAGCAACACCGAGAATGACCATATTGATCCAATGGACCTTACCCATTTGGATGTTGCTGATTTCTTTCCCGAGCCAAGTGGAGAAATTGATGGGATCAAATTTCATGGTGATGATGACAATGATGGCAACAAATAGATCAATCAGGACTGATCAAGTATTACATTTATGTTGCATTTGAGTTAAATAATGTTTATCTTTCCATTCCCTAAATGAGTTCGAAATAATTTCATGTGTGGTTGGTTGTTTGATTGATATAAGAAAATAAATTTCATTATATCTTCTTATATTACTTATTTTATTCCCAGAAAAATGGAATATAATGAGTCCGTGAGCAACCTGAACGATGGAGACATTTGTTTGGTTGACAGTGGAACAACACACACAATTCTTCGAGATCAAAAATATTTCTCGAGTTTGAAATTGGCAAAGGCAAGTGTTAGTACAATTTCTGGTACTACCAAACTAATTGATGGCTCCGGAAGAGCTAATATTGTTTTGCCTGGTGGGACGAATATTTTTGTAAAAGAGGCTTTGTACTCTAATAAATCCAAAAGAAACTTACTGAGTTTCAAGGACATACGTCTCAATGGATTTCATATCGAAACGATGAATGAGGGGAATATGGAATTTCTTTGTATTACAACCAATATTTCATGCCAGAAGCATGTTAAAGAGAAACTCCCAGTTTTCTCATCAGGGTTGTATTATGCGATTATAAGCGCAATAGAAACAAATATTGTGATGGACCAGAAGTCCAATGATCCGAAACTTTTCTCTCTTTGGCATGATCGACTTGGTCACCCAGGATCGACCATGATGCGTCGAATAATAAATAATTCATATGGGCATACTTTAAAGAACCAGAAGATTCTTATGCCCCATGAATGTGTATGCATTGCATGCTCACAAGGGACATTAATTATAAGACCATCTCCAATGAAAATTAATAGCGAGGTCCCAACATTTTTACAAAGAATTCAAGGGGATATTTGTGGACCTATAGATCCACCTTGTGGACCATTTCGCTATTTTATGGTTCTATTGGATGCATCATCTAGATGGTCACATGTAAGTCTATTGTCAACACGTACTGTTGCTTTTGCTAGACTTCTTGCTCAAATCATAAGATTAAGAGCTCAATTTCCCGATTATCCTATCAAGAGTATTCGTCTTGATAATGCCGGTGAATTTTCATCTCAAGCATTTAATGATTATTGCATGTCAATTGGTATTGATATTGAACATTCAGTTGCCCATGTACATACTCAAAATGGACTTGCAGAGTCATTTATTAAGAGATTCCAACTGATTGCTAGACCTTTGCTCTTACGGTCTAATTTACCCACTTCTATTTGGGGACATGCAATATTACATGCTGCTTCATTGGTCAGGATCAGACCAAGTTCATTTCAGCAGTATTCACCGTTGCAACTTGTTTCTGGCCAGCAGCCAGACATTTCTCACTTAAAAATATTTGGTTGTGCCGTTTATGTTCCGATTTCTCCACCTCAGAGAACAAAAATGGGTCCACAAAGACGACTTGGAATTTATGTTGGTTTTGATTCCCCGTCTATAATTCGATACATTGAACCCCTGACGGGTGATTTGTTTAAGGCAAGATTTGTTGATTGCCATTTTGATGAGACAATT